TTCATGTTCATCCATTTCCTTGTGGTTCTGGAAGGCTCAGTGAGGTTTCCCACAGTCTGGAGCACATGGGCCACCTCTCTGGGCTGCTTCCTCTCCTATCCATTGCACATCCCAACATATTTAAACATCCCTTCAATCCCAGTTTATCTCCCAAAGAAAATCAGGCTCTTTCAAAACTGACAGGTCTTTCTGGAAGTGTCAATTCTTCCATTTTAGGATGAGGTGCCTGTGTAGAAAATTAACACCTAAAACTGTCTGCAGCTCAATTTCTGCTCTCTGGCACAGGGACAGCACCAGGGAGGGATTTAGGTTGGGTTTCAGGGCAAGGCTCTTGCCCAGAGGGTGCTGGCACTGCCCAGGGAATGGGCACGGCCCCGAGGCTGCCACAGCTCCAGGAGCTGCCAGGGATGACCAGGCTGGGATTTTGGGGGGTCTGGGCAGGGCAGGGCTGGCACTGGGGGATCCCTGTGGGTTTATCCCCACTCAGGATATTCCACCATTCCATGATCCTGCAGGACATTCAAAAACCCTCCCTCCATGGTGATCACCAAGTCACTGCCATTTGGGGTTTCAAATCTCTCATAGCTATCAGCTTTTTGCCTCATTCTTGTTGGTGTTCCTTCCACTCCTACATTTCCACATGGAATTCTTTATGAGAGAAGGGTGTGCACGATTTAACAAAATCATGAGAAGTGTGTGTAAGTATGTGAACACACCCAGAAAATATAAAGACATTTGTATTTTTTAAGTGCAATTCATCACTGTGAGTTGAAAGTCTTGGAGTGGTTACTCAAAGATTCTGTTCTAAAAATATTAATCATTGTCTCTGTGCCACAGTTTTGCTATTTCTGAGTGTTCTGTAATTGTGGATGATGCTCTCTAGTTGTGCTGCCCCATCCCTGGAATTGTCCAAGGCCAGGTTGGACAGGGTTTGGAGCAAAGTGGGACAGTGGAAGGTGTCCCTGCCATGGCAGGGGCTGGAATGAGATGATCTCCAAGATCCCTTCCAACCCAAACCATTCTGTGCTTTTATGATCTGGTGATTCATTCTAAAATCCAAATGGTCCCGTTCCAGGAAATGATCCTTACATTTCAGCACAGGCCATGTAACAGGTGATGTTTGGAATGTGGCCTGGCCTTTCAGAACTAGGTCTTTGTGCTGGTTTAATGAGCACATTTTCCTTCAGTTCAAAATGCTTTGCTGCACTCAGTCTTCCTGAAGAGAAATTAATGCTGTCATGGATCACTAACTATAACAAAGTTCTTCCCTGTGCATTGGGACTGCTTTTGGCTTTCCTCCTCTCTCACTGATTTTTTTTTTTTTTTTAATCCCTCTTTTAGCTCTGCAGTTGAGACAGCGTTTGAAAAGATGTGAAAACCACTGAGGGCTTCAGCGTTCAGCTTTCCTTCCTAATTATGTGGATTAAGCGGTATTTCTCTGGGGA